TTGGTTTTAAACTCAAAGGATGGTTTACATCCTCTTCTATGGCCATGTGCCTTCACCCCCCTCACTATGCGTAATGGGTGGTGTTCCCAAGCTTTGCCATCTTCACCAAGACCTTGGCGAGCTGGTCCCCACCATCATGCAGGTACCTCTGCACCGCACTGCTTGACCAACGCCCCTGGCGCTTCACCAGCTCGATCTCCCCGGTGCTTTGAAACAGCGCGGTTGCTCCCCCAATCCTCAAACTATGGCTGAGGAAGCGTTCGGGGGGTAAGCCAACCCCCCTTGCCGCCTGCTGCAACAGCGACTGCACCTCGATCCTCTTGAGGACGTTGCCGTTTGCCCAGCGAAACAAGCGCTCCCTCGCATGTCGATGGTCTCGGGCAAAGCGGGTAGGCCACGCCTTCTTCATGCCAAGTAGCGCTTTGACTGGGCACAGGTGGACAACCTTGGTCTCATTCAAGGTCTTGGACTCGCCAAAGGCCAGCTGATCCGATTTGGTCTTCCGGAACTGCATCGTCACCTCATTGGCCGTCTCGTCATCAACCCCCACAGTGTCCCTGGTGAAGCGAATGTCGATGCCCCTGAGGATCATCTCGTCGTCGACTCCATTGCTGTCACAATACTCCTTGGCCCTCAACATGAAGAACCATGCAGTCACCATGGCTGCCTTGAGCATCACCGGTGTGGTCGCCTCCAACGGTTCCACCAGGCGTCGCCCCAACCATGTGAGCATCTGTGGTGTCACCCCCAAACGGCGGGGTTTGTGTACCGCCTTGCGATCCATCGACCGAGCCAACATCCAAAGGCGGCACATACCCTCCGTAGGGTCGCCAACTCCAGCTCGCTTGTGGCTATCCTTGATCGCGAGCCTGCCTGATGGTTGCCGAAGAAGCCCCCAACCAGCCCAGGTACCCGATGAAGCTCAGGACATAATTCTCGTTCTGGACAGGGTCTCCTTTACGGCTGAGGTATTCCGATGGCCACCCTTGCCGTTTTGCCCAAGCCTTCCACTTTGCCCATGATCCTGCATAGGCTTTCTCTGTGCTTGGGGCTTTATCACCCATCAAATTTTCTTCAAGCCATTCCTCAACCCGGGAGGCCACTTGCCCATCGAATGGGCGCGGGGGTTGCAGCAAGACCTCCACTGCCTTGTTGCCGATGACCTCCTCGATCTTCTTCCTGCGTCGACCACCCGCATAGACGCCCTCGAACTGGTTCTCCTCGCCCTCATCCGACACATTGCCTTCAAGGGCGTCGATCCACCAAGCCTCAACCCATCGGGAAACTGCGTGGCCCACATCGCTCACCAGGGTCCCAGCGCAGCGCAGCTCACCTCGCTTCCACCTTCTCAGCCACACGAGGATCTGTGCCATGGCCTCTGCGCCCTGGACTCTCTGCCCATTCCAGCCTTCACACCTTGCTGAGCCATCAAGAGGATGTAGCCTCCAACCGTGAGCAAGCTCGTGGCCGTGCGGACGCCCGTAGCCTTGGTGCCCTCCACGATCCACTGCTCGTAGTCTTGAGCCGGTTCCTTGGCCGCCCCACTCCTGCCCTGAAGCACCCAGATCTCCAAACCCAAGGTGTCCAGGTGGTCCTTTTCGGTCATAGACATACACATCCTCCAATGCCCCTTCTTGATCATCGAACAGCGGCCACCTCACCGGGCCCCCCAAGCCATGCAAGACCTTGCGCTCCGAGCGCTCGTCCATCCAATAGTGCCCAACCCCTTGCGGAAGCATCGGGTCCCTAGCTTGACCCCCCAGCAGCTCCATACGATGAGGCATCACCCAAGTCTCCTCGTTCTTCCATTCTGGAGTTGTGAGCAAATTAAAGAGCCAATGCACTGGATACTCACAACTGATTATTGCTCTTGCGAGCCTATAATCTACGTGTGTGTGTGTGTGCGCAGTGTTGGGGGGCGTGAGTCAGTTGATGTGTAAGTTGTTAGTGCGAATAAGTTAGTGTGAGTATACAAGTTAGTGTGACTGAGTTGGTGTAAGTAAGTTGGCGCGAGTGATGATTGGTGTGAGTGCGCGGGAGCGACGGCGAGATACAAGTAAGAACCCTAGTCAGCATATGGGGGAATGAATGAATTCTTCAGGAAGGAAGCAGTCAAAACAAAAGCAACAAACCTGTCAACTACCGAGCTTTGTCAAGCATGATACTGATTTGTTTGAGGCATAGGCAAGGGAAAGGGCATGCCTGATGCCCTTGGCTGTCCCACCGGAAACTACCATCAAAAGCATCGGTAGCAGCTTCTTTGGCCGCGCGTGCTGCTTCCTCACATGTCAAACAACAGGCAAGTGGATAGCACAATGCATCCAATATCCAATGATGATTAGCCATCTCCAAAAACACGCATTGACACTTTCCACTGCAAGGGTCTAACTGGCGAATGAAAGTGATTATAGATATGAATGTCTGCAGCATTTTGAAGAAGCTGTGTTTGTGTTTTGGCCATGATTGTGCAATGATTTCTGAGGTCCACATCCTGCTCGTTAAGTGCTTTGCTGCATAGATTCTAGCTGCCATGTAAGACAACTCTCAATCAAGTGCTCCCCTGCACCTCCGAGGGGTTGAGGGCCATCGGGCTATGCTGGAGTGCATCAAAGCTCCAAGATCATCTGGAGGAGGCACCAATTCCTCATGCTTAAGGGAGGCGAAGCTGAGAAGCACTTTTGCTATTTGCAGGCCTTGATCATCTTTGTGTAAGCATCTCTACAAAAGTTGCAAAATTGAGTCTTTAGTCTTTAATAGCTGTTTTGCGCGTCACGTCACATAACCTGAGTCACTCATATTTCAATGCACTGGATGCCGGCTTGCAATGTTCAACACTACGACCAGAATGATTGGACCAAGAATCGGGTTGCTCAAGCTCATCAGCTTCTTCCTCTGCATCTGTAATGTCCTGCAAGGGAACTGGCCATTGTATGGAAGGGACGGCAAAAGGTGCTGCACACCCTGGACCAACGCAAGTGGACCTTCTCGCAGGAACGAACAAACATATTCATGTTTGCAAAGGCAGGCTCTTCCTGAATAAGCAAAGGCGTAGCTTCATCATACGGAGCTTTGGATTCCAGCAATGCAATCTGCACACCGGTTGGCCGGTCTTTGAGCCTTCACAAAGCCACGCATTGAAGGCGCGTCATGGAAAGTTCAGGATGTCTGGAGTGCCATTTCTGATAAAATGCACCTCACCATGAAGGTAGCTGGCAGTGGCATGGGCTCGGGACCTGCAGCGTTTCTGACTACATAGAGTCACCGAGAGCCGGAGGAAGTCTTGCAATGTCTTGTATACATGTATAGACACCAAAACAAAGAGCAATATGATGCAATAGGTCCAAGGCAAGCGAAGCTAAGAGCTATACCGGCACAAGTTAAGATGTGAATCAAACTTCAATCACATTGCAGCTTCTGCCCCCAACAAGACCCACTTGATGCAAAATGTGCGAGTCATTTCGTTCAGGTTCAATCAATAATTTTGATCTTTAACGGCAAATCGTCAATCAATCTCGTTGCCCTCACCTCCCAGCGCGAGGCGCAATTCGGGAATGTTGGTCAGGAGCAGCAAACCAGAGGATGCAAGGTCCACCGGCCCTAGTGGTCGCGCTACCATCGTGGTATCCGGCCTGAGCTACAAGCCAACTTCTAAAGGCGGTTGTTGGTTGCTTTTGCAGGGACAACAATGTCCACAAAAAGAACATGTGCAAAGATTGAACATAATAATTCACAGCGTAGTGCTAGGCGTGCCACAAAGACTTTACAGTTTTATATGCTTTGCGACGAAGCGCAGTAGCTGCTGATAGGTCGGTCGCTTCAAGGGATCGCCCTCTGTGAGGGCATAGCCTAACGTGAATGGAACGAAAGGTCCGGTTCCTACTAGCGATGCCCTTTGCTCCTAGTAGCTTCTTGCTCCTAGTAGTAAGGCCAGGAGCCCCTAGTAGCGTCCTCTTCAAATCACAGCTCCAGGCCTTGAGGTTTATGAACCAAAAAAGCCAAACTCCCCAACAGGGCCAGCGAATGACCATTCACAGTGATCTCGTGACTGTCCTCGGGGCATTGATTTCAATTGATCTCCAAAAGGCGAATCTGGGAGATCAGCGAATCTTGGCTTATAGTGCAGTTTCTGTCTCGACCCAGCAGTTTCTTGTCTGTATCCTTCCGTCAACCATCACTCTGGACCTGCATCAGGGTGGAGCAAAGGACAAGTACTGAAGTGAACACAATCCCAAGCAATATAATGTCGTGTCAAACTGTCTCAAGTGCACCTTCGTGTGTCCTGTTCACATTCAATAGTTCTTCAGACTCGCGATGGGTTTCCCTCAAAAAGTGCCCGCCTCTGTATGAGAGCTAGGGCATCTTGAGCATCAAGGCTCAACACAGACATCAGTCGTTGCTGTAGGCGCTGAGGCCCTGGCACCAGCAGTTCGCGCATGACTCGCCACTGGCATGGGTTCCACGTTCGTTTGACTTGAGATGAGCTCCCAACTCGTAGCATCTCGCAGAAAAGTGACTGCGTCCAAAACAATCAGGTATCAATTAAGTGACAATCAAATGTCCAAAGGTTGGTTGTCAATCATCGCGTTGTTTTGACGAGATCGTACCAACGAAATGACGTACATATGTACCAAACCTGTCCGGACTTCCCAACTCCAAACTGTCCATACCAATCTTTACAAGTTTGGAATCAAGGCGAGGCCTCCCATGCAAATAAGAGTCCACCCGCATATGCATGTGGCGATTTCACTTAGCTTCGATCAGTTGAACCAAAATTGCAGAATGCATGGTATACCTTCAGGCCCGTTCCTCCGCCCCTCTGCCAGACATTCATCGCTGCTGTAGCCATCGAACCCAAGTATCGGAGTCGATACTACCTACAAGTAGCTACTACTTAGGACGCACTATAATGATTTGGTTCCTAGATTGTTTGGGGAAACTTCGTCATAATCTGCAGATTTGACCCCACGGTTTCTGCTTTTGTTCTTGCCTTCAAAACAGCTCGATCGATGCAAAGTAGCTGCAATTGGCGCTCGAGTCAACTTGCGATGCCCCGCAAGAGCTTCCGGTGGCAGCGGCTTCCTCAAACCCAGCAAGGCCACAGTCCAGTCATTTTTAAGTCTGCGCAATGGAAGCTTGTTTCAAGACTGTTTCGGATTCAAGCTGCTGGAAGCCCCAAATAGGTTGCCACACCATCGAGCCATGAGATGGCCACCGCGCACGATGTAATCGCGTCCAGGTCAGACGGTGCACACTGCGGTAGGGCCTTATGCATGAGAAACTAATCAAAAAGGGAGATCCTTTTTGGCCAGCAAACCACCCTGGTTTCTTCACAGAGGGTCCAAATCAAACCACACATCTGCAAAGAATCATGTTGGCAGAAAAGGAGAAAACATAAGCGAACGGAAGAGCGTCGAAGTATCCCAACGGCGCTGGCAAAGCCGCGGCAAGAGGATCGATGGCGCCCAGGTCATCAAAAACCCCAGCGGGTCAAGTGGAACAGAATCCAAAAATCTCTCGGTATCCAAGCTGGAAAGGCTGCATGAGTGAAGATAAACGGTGGCAGTGGTTGTCAGCCAAGAGATGTTTGTTTGTTCTATAGTTGCTGACTGCGAGCTTTGGTGAATCTTGTGGTGAGCTTTGGTGACATTCCTGCCTTGTTTTTTCAAATTCAATCCGGAGCATGAGAAAGGTACCTGACATTGAACTCAACCCCTAAAATTTTCAAATTGCTCTAGGATGCTAAAGATGCTAAAGTTATGCGAGCCAAAACGCGTATAAATATATATATATAATATCTAAATAAGTACAGAACGTGCACTTCAAATTGGTTTTCTAACACTGGACACCACCAGACTCATTGAGTTTGGTTTTCAAAAAAAAGGACAACGGCGTGCCCGGAGCTGGAAGCAATCACATCCAAGGTCGCATCGACGTTGCTCAGACCGACCTTTCGCAAGGTGTCAGACAGATAAACCGGCAAGAATATCCAAGAACCCATTGCGCCATGGGCCCCACATACCCGTTCTATCCCTCTCGCAGCCCAGCTTCATGTTGCATGTGACAGTGCGTTGTGTTTTATGGTGGCAGACTGACCAACTTTCGCCGACTTGCATTCAAACCATCAACGAGATACCCATCTGTACCCAATGTCACTTCTTTCATGATGTCCGCCTCGTGCGTAACTGTTGGACCTGCACAAAGATTGAGACCCTCGTCCATCGCAAATGACAGTATAAAAAAATGTGTATCCAACTCATTTGGTTGCAGTACATGCTCTCTTGATAACGCAACATACAACATGCACCCACACCCACAATCACACACATACACTTAGCAAAATGCTCGGAAGGAACCTGTTTCAGTGGAATACCGCCACTCATTAGCCGCATTAACCCTTTACTGCACTAGCACGTTATTGCACTAGCACTTTACACGAAACAACTTATAAGACAGCTTGAGCTTTGCTTGAGAGTAGACATTCAAACGAGTTAAATTGAACGAAACAATTTCAGCTACATGAGCCTCCATGAAACAAACCAACCAATCAACAGTTGAGCCAGGGGTACTTTTTCACCTCCCTAGCATGTGGTCTTCCTTTGCAGGCGCACACCAGGGAGTCCTGGCCCCATTTGTCTACACACGCAACAGAGACAGAATCTAGTTAAACATTCTCTTGCGACAGTCTGAGGCGTCAAGAAACAGGGGTTGACACACTGAGATGGTTGCTCGCAGGAGCTAGTATCAGTACGAAGTTCCCCTTGACTTGACGAACCCAAGGAAGTGCAAACCGCAAGGCCGTAAAGTCAGTCAACTTGTAGGTGTTGAACACTGTTTGGTAATGCATTAGCGGCCTGCTGCAAAACACAGGAGTGGACAGCTTGTCAACAGTTAAAACCAATTGAAAATGGCAGGTACGTAGTTCTGGCATCCCAGAACTATATCACTGTGCGACAGATGCGTCTTCGTTGGCTGGAGACATCTGAAGCACACTCCAGCCCCCTGCCTCTTTTTCTGCGTTCAGAAACTGTAAGTTAGTAGCGATACCAGGAGCCTTTAGTAGCAAAACCAGGGGTCCTAGTAGCGTCCTTTATGACTCAAAACCTTAGGCACAGGTGTGGACACACACACGAAGCCGCACTCGGCGCGCTGACCCTTGCTTGCAGTTTAGTAGCGTGGCCAGGAGTCGCTAGTAGCGTCCTTACAACCTGGTAGTACCGTCCTAGCTCCTGGTAGCGAGGCCAGAAGCCCCTAGTAGCGTCGTTGGTGTCCGCCGGTCGCAAAACTTTGTACACATAGCGCCAATATTGGCGCTTTTTGTTGAAGACTACTAGCGACCTAAAAAGCCTTAGAAAGACAGAAAAAGCAAACAAAACGCAGACTAAGAGGGCAAGAAGGAAAGATAGGCGTAGTTACGAGGCCCACTTAGTTAAATGAAAGTAGAACGCGAGCGGGACCTTTTGTCTTAAACCGCCCGGGTAGCTAGCAATAGAGTAGGACTAAGAGAAACGGAAGGAAAGGCACCAACACACAAGTGTGTTGAGCGCGATTTCCTTCCGTTGCCCGAATAGCGGGTGGGATAGCAACCGAGGCCCAGGGGTAGGGAGGTAGGGGGAGGGTGGGTTAGGGTGGCCTGTAGGCCTTGCCATCATTGGCTTTCAAGTATAGCCGATTTGGGCCGGCGTACCCCTTCCCTGAAAGACACCTGGAACCCAAAGAAAGGCCTCAAGAAACGAAAAGCAACAAAAGGAGAGAAAGAACCGAAGAGCATGAAAAACACATGTAACAAAAGCACAGTGCGTGAACCCGCCTGCGAATACTTAGACGCATGTTTCCATGTGAATCTCAAGTGGGAATCACAGTGAGCCCTGCGGCATAAGATCAGTGGTATCGCGCAGCACGGTCGATCAGGGGTAAGAATCACAGTGAGCCCTGCAGCATGGTATCCCCCAGGATCTGGGTCTATGCACACGCTGCGCCCCTTGACGGGGATCACACCACAGCCCTCAGTGGGACCCTGTGGCGAAACACACTGAGATGGTTGCTCGCAAGAGCTAGTATCTGTACGAAGTTCCCCTTAACTTGACGAACCGAAGGAAGTGCAAACCGCAAGGTGGTAAAGTCAGTCAACTTGTAGGTGTTGAACACTGTTTGGTAATGCATTAGCGGCCTGCTGCAAAACACAGGAGTGGATAGCATGTCAACAGTTAAAACCAATTGAAAATGGCAGGCACGTAGTTCTGGCATCCCAGAACTATATCACTGTGCGACAGATGCGTCTTCGTTGGCTGGAGACATCTGAAGCACACTCCAGCCCCCTGCCTCTTTTTCTGCGTTAAGGAACTGTAAGTTAGTAGCGAGACCAGGAGCCTTTAGTAGCAAAACCAGGGGCCCTAGTAGCGTCCTTTATGACTCAAAACCTTAGGCACAGGTGTGGACACACACACACACTTATAGAAATGCGTACTGACTCGAATGCCGCTCGCCACACGGCAACCTAAGGAAACCAAATCCTGAAAAGACAAGAGGGGGTCTCAGTTCCTGTAGTTAAAGGCCAGAAGTCAAACTCCACGATGCGACGAACCGACGGGATGACGACGTACGTTCTTGTCTGCCGCATGCGCTAGCCCTTTACGGAAACTTACAAGTTGATGCAGGTACGTCAGCAAGCGTCCTTGCTGATATCAGCACAACCTGAAGAGCCTCTTTGTTAGATGCCCTCTCTTCAGGTGTGGGGCATCCCCCTGCTTAAAAAACACTTCAACAGGAACCCTGTGACTCCAAAGGTTACACACACATGCCCCCCCCGAGGGGAAGCAAAAAGAATCAAGGCTAGGACGGTTGCGTAAGTGCACGCGCAGCCAGGACAAAAGAGTGAAAACATGAAAAGGAGGACGAGACGGGACACAGGTGTTTGTGGTTGAAATGAAAGAGAAACCAAGTGAACAGGGACAACTCACCAACCCCACTTCATTGTCAAGACCTGGGCGACCTGAAACCTGTGTTAAAGTGTAGGTAGATGTGCGCGTACACACTAAGGCCAGGACCGATGTGTGCGCAAACGAGAAAAGGAATGAGATGACAAAACATGAAGACAGGACGACATGAAAGAAAAGAGGAAAACAAAAGTATGTGAAGGGGAAAAGATGAAAAGGGAAACCAAATGGAGGGGGCGAAAACCAGTGAACCCAAACCTCATTAGAAAACCTACGCAAACCTCGTTGAAAATGTACGCACTGTGCGCGCACTTGAGGTGGCGACAGGTTCCAATGAACCTTCAATGTACTTTGACCGCTGTGGTCACCTTGACATAGTATACCCCCGTTCAACGGGTCCACAGGGGCCCCTCTGCGGGGTCACCCTGGGCTCTCACGAGGAGAGACACACTTATAGAAATGCGTACTGACTCGAATGCCGCTCGCCACACGGCAACCTAAGGAAAACAAGCCATGAAAAGACAAGAGGGGGTCTCAGTTCCTGTAGGTAAAAGCCAGAAGTCAAACTCCACGATGCGACAAACCGACGGGATGACGACGTACGTTCGTCTGCCGCACGCACTAGCCCTTTACGGAAACTCAAAAGTTGATGCAGGCGCGTCAGCAAGCGTCCTTGCTGATATCAGCACAACCTGAAGAGCCTCTTTGTTAGATGCCCTCTCTTCAGGTGTAGGGCATCCCCCTGCTTAAAAGGCCTATCAAACACTCCAACAGGATCCCTATGACTCCAAAGGCACTCCTCGGGCTGGCACGAAGCCAGACACACTTGGGAAGTGCGTACTGAAGTCGAATGCCAAGTGCCACACGCCCACCTGGGCGTGAAAGCCTAAGAAGTCAGTTTACAGATATGTAAGGCGGCGTGACCAAATCTCAAAGAAGGAGGTCTTGAGTCTTGAAGTGCGAAAACGCGACGAGATCAACGACAAGCGTTCACATCTGCCTGACTCAAAGCAACCTAAACAGCCTGGTCAACTAGAGGAGGAGGTGGTTACCAACATCATAACAGGATCAAAGTGCAGGTACAAGAGTTGATGTCCCAACTCTCTTCCAACTGATTTCCGTAGCTTCGTTGGCACGGATAGGAAATCAGTCTCCGTGCCCTGCAGCATAAAACAACCGAAAGGTTCCCACACATATATATATATATATTATAATATAGTATAATATAATATAATATAATATAGTATAGTATAATATAATATAATATAATATATATATACTGCATTTATAAATCTGACAATTCTTGGTGCGCCTTTCTCATCTGGAGACCTCAAAGCTCTCATGTCAACAAGTCCATGCAGGTGCAAGGAGATCTACGAGAGGACAAGCGACAAACAGTATGATGCGCTTCCTGGTCAAGTACTCAGCTTCCCACACTGACTCCATTGACGAACTGCGCCCACTAATCTGATGTCAATGACAATGGTCGGGTGTTGTTAGATGGGTGTCGCTCTACTAGCTGGAAGAGTGATTTCCCAGTTTGAAAAAGTATGAAAATCTCACACTGTACCTCTACCTGCTGTTGTATGGTTGCTGCTGATTATGGATGCTCTTGGACAACAACAGGAGTGACCATTTCCAGCAATTGATCAGCAGTTTTTTGCTTGGGCAATTGCCTCCACGAACACTCTTTTGAGACTCTTCTCCCCAGCATTTCAAGCATTATTTTTTCTCGGCAAGAGCTTCACTCGTCGAAGTCCTGGCTTCACGAGCGAGAGCGTCCTTTGTCCAAGACTCAGGACATCTGAATAGTCTGTTCTCTCAATTCCCCAAACTGCATCGACACTACTGTCTTGCCGTCCTCGTCCTCACTGCCACTTTCTCCATTGTCGTCAGGCTCATGCACAACAGCCTGCTGAAAGGTTGCAACGGCATAGTAAAAGGCACCTAACACCACGGACGTCCCTGCAAGAGAGTGTTGAGATCAACTTTTCCGGAATACGGCAGCGTGAGAACAAAGAGGTGGTTAGGCGTGGAGCAAACAAAGTACTGCTTACATGGTTCCACAAGTGTTCCGGTGATGTAACACATCAATCTATCAATCTAAGACCAGGCAAACTGCGACACAAACCTGCTTAGCCACGTAGTCAACGACTTCCTCCATATCCAGGCCTTGCTTGCCGTTGCCAAAATGCTTCACTATGTCTGGACGTGCATCGTGCATGTCTCACAGTGCGCTGAGGCAGCATCCCACGTACGATTCGCAGGATAGCGTTAGCCTGGCTATATGTAGAAACATGTAGAGAGATTGAAGAAGGTGAGGGCACCTTTGAGAAGGGGTCTTTGCTGAAAGGGGCCCTTACCTTCTCTTCTTACCTTCTCTTCTTCGTCTCTTTAGAAATATCTACATAAAAGACTACGAGACAGAGAGTGAGTTGATCAAGAGGAGTCTTAGAGCACCGAGCCTGAGGCGGCATTTTCCGGCCAAGGGCACACGGAAGCGGATATGGGCAACTACCTGAAGTGCATAAAATTGGTCAAAATTCGCCAGACAAAGATTCAATCCAAAACTCCCCAGCCTCCCTGGAGGGATCGGTGATGCGCGAGCACCTCAGTCTTTTACATGTTGCCAGGTGCTTTCTACACAGACTTGACATACACAAAGTTCGAGTTTCTTGCACCATCCTCGTAGAATTCCAACATGCTAAATAGTGTAACATGTCTGTTTTTGGTCAGTATGACAGAAAGCACAAGGATTGTAGCAATTGGTTCACATGTTTGCCCACGGTACAACTAAGCAACAAACCTCATTTGTTTGCCTTGAAATATGTGTATGTATAATATATATATATATATCATATATACAATATATATTTGTATATGTATATATATAGGTATGCAGCACATATCATGTAGATAGTTGAAGTAAGTCCTGCACACGCTCACACCACTCTTGCCTCTGCCAGGAAGGCGAAAGGTCACCCACCAGGCTTCTCTTACCTCGACAAGGATTTCTTGCGCGATCTTCTGGTGAGTGCTTGCTCTTCTCTTCAGAGGTAGCACCCTCCTTGGACATAGACTTCCCCTTTAGAGTATTCAGCTAGACTGTAGCCAAGACAGGACTCTAATGGGTTGAAATCCTGCTGGGCCTCTTGGCTCAGCAACAGAACAGCATATCTTTTGCGGCTCAGTCGTGTTGGAAGGAACCTTCAAGTGTTCGGTTGGGTAGTATTCATGCAGGCTCGGGGAAGGCCTTCTTTTCACGCAAGCAGTACCCTGTCCCCACCCAAAGTTGCCTGAGCACTCGGGAACAGTGGAGTATGGGCATAGCCAACTGCCTGTGCTGCAAAGAAGCGATAAAAATGCTGTGAAATTCAACGCTGCCTGCTGGTCCTGTAATGTCGAGTTAAAAGTCAAGCCCCGCAAACATAAAAACAATGGTCAGTGAAATCAATAAATGTTGGTTTTTTGGAAGGTGCTGTATTATGTCCACGTTACAATTATAATAATTATATAAGTCATATACTGTCGATATCTTGCATGTCTCTGCGCTCCCGAACCTGCCCTTCCTGAAGATTGCTGCGTAAAAGCCTTGCGGCCAAGGAAGTCATTCCTCTTTCTTGCTTTCCTTTTGTTTTGAGGCTATGGAATAGAGGAGACTCATAGTTCATGAAGGTTGCCTCAGTTCCAGGGTAGCAACATCACCAATGCAAATCTCATCTTCGCCCTGCACGAAGACGCGAGCTGCCTGACCAAAGCGAAGCATAGCTGCGACAAAAGTCTGCCACCTGTGACTTGCCTCGCTGCTGTGCTTTGCATGTCTGTAGACGATAAATAGATGGAGTATGTTAGAATTTAGAATATGTTAGAGCATGTTTCGGTCCTCGTACTTTTCATAGGCAGTTCTCTTACATCTGTCAAACCGCCTGGATCTGCATTTGAGGAGCACAAGCAACGAATTCATCGATATCCTCAGTGGCAGCTGGACCACACAAACAGCACTGCCTCGCCTTGCATCTACCTCAATCACTCTGCTTGCATCTCTTGTCCAATGCCGCCAATGCCCAATAAACACAGTCTTCAACCCTGCCGCCGTGTATCTGCTCTCTGGCTGGCCGTGAATCCTATGTCCTCGGCAGATAAAGCACTGCTTCGCTCCTGGAGTCACATGGAAGTCATTGAAAATTGAAGATTGTAGCTTCTGCTGCCTATATGCATTGTTGTTTTGACTTCCCCTATGCTTTGTGTGGCCAACTGTCGACTTTTCATTGTTCAGACTCTGCATCTTAATGCAGCCATTTGGCAACTGGCACAGATCACTCAGTGCCAATCCTGCGACGGCATGGAAAGAAATGTTGGCAGCGTTGCATATTTCTTGTGACGCTTCTGCCACAGCCTCAGCTGGTTCACTGCAGATACACTCAGCAAGCAAGAAAGCAAATCCTCAAAAAACAGCACCATTGGATCTTGCCAACCTATTGAAAGATGATTTCCTTCTGAGACACACCTGCAAGTTTGACCTACACTACAATGCCCGCTTGTTCATCAAAGAAACCTAAAAGCTCCCCATACACCGCCCACGAGGGGACTGCGAACGCCACCATGAGTTCCATCATTTTCTACTGGTACGCCTCATGAAGTCAAGGCACCGTGTTTGCTCGCTGCTGAAGTGCGGGATCCTCAACTAGGCAGAAAGGGAGCAGGCTACTGTCCGCCGAAGGCACTTAATCGGCCACTGGCGACACATGGATTTGGCCGAGCCGCTGCAGCAAGGAGCCTGCACTACAGCCTGCACCTTTGCCGAAAGGATCTATAGCCTCGTCAAGTCGTGGTTGTGTGTTCTGCTATTGAAACAGCGTGGGTGATTGCTTGCCATGGATTGCTCCGTGTGGCCCCATTGAATGTGCAAACTATGTAAGGTGCCCCTAATTCAGTTACTGTAATGCAATGCAAACCATCAAGTACATGAATAAGGCCGCTAACACCCTGCACAGGTGGGTGTGACCCAAACAAAATCTCCGTTGCTCATGGTACTTCGCAAGTCAACTTGATGTCTTTGATTGGTGGTTCTCCGCAGACTGCACTGGTCCCCTTCCTGGACAAGACCACGAAAGACGTCAAGGGTGCTTTGCAGAGTCTGTGAGTAACCTGAGCAGCAGCTCTTCTAAACAACAAGCCTGGTCCGAGTGGCCTGAGGAAGGAACTGTTGTCCAATTAATATGTTACGCTACAAAAAAAAAACACATCATGGTTGCACATGTCTGGGGTTCCTGCCTTTCTTTGCTGCAAGTTGTAGCAAAGCTTTGCATGTTTTCTGGCAGGTCCGGCAACAAACAAGCCACACTTTCCCCCCTCTCCTACAGGTGCTTACTCGTTCTACTCTGACACCAAACTCTCCTAATGGTTTAAAACCAGCTTTTCCTGCCTCAAAGGGAATTCAACAGATCTTCCTAAAGACTGACTTCATCATCTCAAGATCTGCACCTCCCACTCCCGGAGGGCAGACTCCAAAAGATCCAGATCACGCAGAAGATCTTTTCGCCGTAGGACGTGACCCCAAAAGAGAACTTCCTTGGTTGCAAAAGGGTCTGAGTCTATATATGACAGAGGTGTCAAGAGTCTCAGAGTAGTTCCATATCCTTCTAAGCTAGTTGCAGGAGGGTTCGATATCATTTGCTGACCCTTGGGAGTCTTTGGTGCTGCTTCGATTGTCAATGTTTAAGGGCTTCCAACGCTGACATTCTACTAACCGAGACAGGGTGCTGCCTGCTGCAGTTTGATCTCGTCCTGGCAAGTTGTCGCAACACTGTTGCGTCCCGCGGGAAAATAACACAACTTGAAATGTGTTTGTGCTCGCAACTGTGCAACGAGATTTTTCCCAACGCACGGGACTGGAGCCCCCACCACAACCCCAATATAAATGTATCTTCATGATCCTGCATGTTTGTTTGTCTCCTTGTTCAATTGGTGTGTAGGGCTGAATGAATTAACAGATTGGCCCTGATGTACAAAGAGTGATTCTGTCTTTACTCCTGTTGCTCATGTGTTGAGACAGGACGCCTTTCCCTTTGAGCGATGGTGATTATATATATATATACAGTATATAATAAGTACCTTTGTGTGTGTGTCAACCCCTGTTCCAAAGGGTTCCGCGTTTCCGGATGTCTCCATCACGCAAGCAGGGGGATCAGGCTTCCAGTGACTAACCTGATCCAACGAAGCTGGGTCACTGGAAGGGAAGTGGTTGAGGACGCTCAACCATGTACCTGCAAAGTGCTTCACAAGCTGTTACCCTCCTTCTCCACGGTTTGTTTCATGGTGGTTCGCATGATACTTCCCGCAAACCTTTTCTTCCGCCGCTTTTCCTGCAGCTGAGCCGCGTTGATGTTCGCCACCGCAGACGCGTCAACAGATTGTTAAAACCATACAAGTGCGCTGACCCTCTCACCTTTCCGTTCCATCGCCATTTTCCTGGGAATTGAGTTAACTGAAAACCAATGTCAGAGTGTGAACCGCTCAGCCGTCCCACTTGGGCGCTGGGTGTGATCCTCCGTAGGAGGCGCCGGTGCCATATCAGAAATCGTTTTTCTGATTGATCGTCGTTTCATCGTGAATCACTGTCATTACTTCCACGCCAACACTGAATTAACAGGATTGAAAGCCGCCGGGCTTTTCTACGGATTTATGGACTTTGCACTTTCAGATTGTTGCATTTTCGGACTTCATGACGACATGCATGCAAGAGTTATTTATTCGAATTCATTGCAGCTGCACTTTCAATTTCAAGGATGTACCAGACCATTTCACCTCCACCGTGTACAGGGCATGACTTTTCACATTTCCACCTTGTATCACCTTTTCACGCCTTTCATCCTCCATTTCATATTTGACATTCCACTCCTTCATCATCCCACGATTTCACTCCACGGGTACAAGTAGCAGAGACTCTCAGCAGCTGCCGCGCCGCGCTGGTGCCATTGAGCAGCCGTCACCTTTGAAGCTATAGCATGTTGAGTGGAACCTCGACTATCACCAACATCAAGCCAATGCAGTATCCATGGCCATACCCATACTGGACTCATCAACCACCACCTACAACAGCCCATACATTTCCCATCCACCAGCCGCAACCTCACATGCCTCCCATGATTCCACACATACCACCGACATTGCCCCATTTGCCACAGCCAACATGGCAACCCTCACCACCACCGCACTTCCAACCACCACCACAGCTCGTACCTCAGATACCACATCACCATACGATTCCATTTTCCTACTCGCTGCCTCCGCCGGAACCTTCACCATCACAACCTCCTTCCATGATTTCCCCACAACCACAACCACCACCAGTGCCTCATACACACCCAGCTCCACCGCCAGCCTGCCAGCCGGCACCAATGCAATGGGACTACAGCCAGGGAGTCTGGCAACCCTTTTCAGTGTTTCCGCCAGTTGCTCAACCGGGTCATGTTCCACCAGGCTCCATCCAGCCAGGCCAGACTCCCGCAGTCGCCACTCCAAGTCCTCCTGACCCTCTGCCTGCTGCAGCACCAGCACCACTTCCCGCCACAGCCACTCCTGGCATCCAATCGCCAACCTCTACAGCACCCTCAACACAAACCGACCGCCCTGCCCCTACCACTGAGCAAGCCTCTTCAAATCCTCTTTCACACCCACCACCACCTTCTCCCGCAGCAGCCTCCAATCCATCCGACAATCTTATGGGCACACACATCTCCGAACCACCACCAGCTCATCCACAGTCCACCGCAACACACCCACTTCCAGCATCCAACGCTCCCAGTCACCAAAGCAGCGGCCATCGCCGACCACATCGTCGACGCCATCGCCATCACACTCGCGGCAGGCGCACTCATCGCCACCGCACCACACGCTCAACGACCCAACAGGATGCCTCTCTCACGGACATCAATCAACACGACACCACCGCCCGCGTTCACCTTCCTCCACCTACTCCACCTGCTCCTACAGCCGCTCACGCAGCCGCTCCAGGCCACCCATTTCTCTTCTACACAACAACGACTCACTACAACAAAATGCTGTCACGAACCAGTCGCACACCAGCTATCCCAACATTCCTGCCCTACGCCGACCTACCAAACCATGGCGACCACTTCCACAATTTCAACAACGCACTCCACAAGAACAACTATAATAGAACTTTGGCTTGATTATCACGCCGACCAACTCGACGCACCCAACAAACCACAACACACTTACATTGCCACCCTGCTGCTCGACAGCGGCCTTACTGACAAAGACCTCTCAGATTTCCGCCAATTCACTCACATCAAATGGAACGACACTACCCACACTCACGATATCTACCAATACCACTGCATCACCATTCCCAGCCTTGTGCAGAAAGCCACCCGCAGCTTCCCACCACCAGCGACACGCGCCACCTCCACCACACCAGAGATGGTACACATCAACGCAGGCCATACCGGCCCTCTCGGCAACATCACCAACATCCTCCAACAGGGCCGCTTCCTGCCAGCACACTCCACTTCCCCAACACCCCGGGCTTCTTTGCCCAAGCCGTACGCATCACCCAACAACCACAACACGACAACGCAGAACACGCCCGCATTCTCCACAACACTTGGAACCTCGCAAAGAACGCACACTCAATCAGTATCAACCTCCTTGCCTGGGGCCAAGGCACCAAATTCACTAGCGGCGGAGAGGAGCAAGCGATGAATCTCCTTCTCCAAAACCACGGAGCCGTTAGCCACGCCGAAGCCAGATGCTGGGTCATTCACCCTGACAACGCAATCGTCAAAGGCCTGGCGTGGTCGATCAACTCCACTCCACCAGACACCTGATTCCGCGCAACAACAACTTCCACCTTGATGGCCACCTTCCAACTGTTTCACCCATCACCACATACCACTCGCCTGGCAAAAAAGAATCCGGGCACAGTTCGACTTCCATAGGCAGCGATTCTCTCACCTGGACGCTATGTCTGTTTCACTTCATGGCAGTTTTTTGCTTTTGAATTTTGAAATGCGACATGCCACACTGCTTGAGTTCCGTTGATTGTTCATGAGTTATCCTTCATGCGATCTCGTTTCCACATAGATACTGTGGCCTCATGACCCCGACGGATTCTGATTCTTGTTACGTTTCAACTTTTGGTCCTCAAGGACCCTCTGAGGCCTCCACGAAGGCCCCACGTTTGCTGCGAAGTTCATGTGTGCTGCGAAATTCACGCTCGATAATTCGCATTCGATAATTCACTTGCACGTCTCAGCCGCTCGTTCATGCTGCCTGGGCCGCCGCGCTGAGCTTTCCGCGCTGCCGTGCTGCTGACCACGAACACTCATCAAGCTTTCATACAGGATGAATCCTAGCCCAGATCACACTCAGTTGGTTCACCGCACCACCATTGCCCTCACACACCTACACCGCCTTCTCCAACAAGCAACTGACATCCTGGCCAATCTACACAGCCTATACCTGCTCCACACAGGACAAGTTGATGCTCATTTCCAACGCTCTTTTCCCCCTCTTCCGCCACCTCCTTCATTCACCATACCAATACCATCACCCACATCCTCTTGTGACTCAGCACCAATCCAGCCACTTCGTACAACACCACGCAAACCAACAGCATCTCTCGACTCCTCTTCCCCCACACCCCCACCACAGCCACCACAACCCAAGAAGCGACGTGAACCAGCACCACCACTGAACCCCCAAGCTGATTGGGACGCCTGGGACGGCGAAGCAGATGGCCGTCTTGTTGAGCTGAAGTCAGACATCCGCCTCCGCCCCAACTGCCCGACGGGTGGGCTTTTCCATAGAACAGTGTAAAGCCCGCTGGCAGGAACTTCAAGGGTTGCAACGACTCCAAGACGCCTCCACACAGCCTCTTTCTTCTCATCCACCCTCTCCCATCACATCACCAGTCATTTCCCCCCCTCCTACATCACCTGCACGCACACCGCCAGCAACTTCTCCCCCACTTCCCCAGCACGAACACCGCCAACAACGCCTCTCCAGCAGTTACACTCAGAAGCAGACTTCTCCGACTCTTCATCTCCACCTCCTCCATTATCATCCGCAGCGGTGGACGACACTGTGGCTGCGCGGCGCACGAAGAGTGAGGACAGTCATCCGGAACCTGTAGAGGACCAATTTCTAGGCAGCTATTATTTTGTATGATTGCTCAGGTTTCACCCACTCTCCCTCGGCGCGCTGCCGGAAATAATTGCATGCTCAGCCCGTGAATACAGACAGCCAACCATTTACAGTCGTGAGTTTAATTCTTTTGCAACCCTTGCAGTTTTGTAAATCATGCTCCTTTTCCACTTGGAAGCTTTTTCACTTGGAAGCTTTTCGCTCTGCTCTTGAGTTTTTCAGCCTTTTTCCTACCCACATTGCAGCCATTTACTATTGAACTTGACTCGTGTACGCCCTGCGCTTTTTTCAGCCGCTTCATCATGGCTGCTGCACATCCAGATGCAGCCAGTGGCATGGAACCAAACCCTGGCATGAACACCAGCCATCAGCCCGGCTCCACCCACACACCACAGACTACATTTCCCACTCCATCCACAGCCATTTCTTCCAGGCAATGGCCCCATTCACCTCGCCCCTTCTGTCACACACCAGCCAGAACTCCTACTCCTTAACCGACTGTTTGACATCCTGTTCGTATTGGTCACACACATCCTGGAGCATCCCATGGCTGATGGACCTCTACCAGACCCCAGCATGTTTGTGGACGACAATGCTTTCCGCCTCTTTCACCAATA